CAGCTGCCTCTCTCTGTATGACGTACTGAATTTTATTAGAGCCGCCAAATGGCTGTAGGTTTCACGAGTCGTGGAATCAAAATGCAAACTTGCCAATTGCTTGTCACCTGAGTGACAATCCACTTAAACCAACCACCCATGTTTTATTTTTGAAAATTTCTATTCTTTCAAAACTCAGTTATCGTTGAATAAAGGTGTGAGTCGGCATTTCCGAAGATTTCACGAAAAATTTATAGTCGGGCTAAGTCGCTATTGAGAGTTTACTACCCTGCAGATAATTGAATTAGTTTGAAAATAATTTATAACCTACTTTATTTTCAATAATAACTAATTGAAATTCTGACTATTTTACCTGCAACGAACACATTTATTTAACATGGCGATGTCCTAGGAAGCAGTCAATTGCCTTTTCCTGCATGTATTTTCAACTACTTTAAAATGAGTTTGGCTTAAACAACATCAAAGTCAGTATGTTTCAATTGAATACGCTTTCGTTCTGCACTTCACAGATGCTTGTTCATAACTAAGAAAAACCGAAATTAAAAATTTAAAATTAAATGAGATTTGAACATGTACATTCTTGGCTGCGACCAATTGTAGCGAACATCTTTGCACGCTCAGCTACAGCCAGACATGTAAATGTGCTTTCGAAGGTTCAGTTTGAATTGTGTGCAAGCAGCAAGTCGACTGTCCGACTCTGCACTTAATTTCAACTACTTTAAAATAAATTTGGTTTACACAACTTCAAAGTCAGTATGTTTCTTTTGAATACGCTTACGTTCTGGACTTCACAGATGCTTTTTAATACTTCCAAGACACAAATTATTATTTTTTTAGCAAAAAAGAGTATACAAATTCGTAACATTTACTCATTTCATTTGTTTTAAAGTAGTCTTTCAATAAGTTTATTTAAAAAAAAAATTACTTGTTTCCGTCAGGGTAATTATACACAGTTTATTAGATAAAAATTATCGGCAAATTCAACACAAGAAAATCTTTACATATTAAGTTGTGCATCATGTCTGGTTCAAATCGCTTCTTACAGAAAATAATTTTGTCCACTTCGAGTAATTATAGTAAACCTATCAGACAGTGAATTATCATCGTAAATAAAAAACCAGCTGTAATATCATGCCGAATAGAATAGATACTGTATTTCAAAAACAATTCAACGACATTTGCTTGTTTGAAATGAAGCATTGATATGTACATACAGCGTGGCGACGAATAACTGTTACCCAGTTTTTTTTGAGAAATAAAAGGGTCCTTTATAAATTTTGCGAAAAAAGTATTTTATTGTTAATTTTCCACAGATTTTACTTTAGTTGTATTAGTTAGTTTTTAAATTTTAATCCTTATCTACATTTGCCAGCAGTGTAAACTTTGAGAGAAAAGTTCATTTGGCACGCAAGTCTTTTTCAGGTGTATTTTTTCTTAGGCTTTGTATAAAAAAAGTACAAAAAAGAAAAAAACTGTATAAGGTTGGTCGAATGAATGGCCGTCCTAGTCACCAGTCCCGAGTCTATTAGATTTTTGAGTATGAGGCCTTATTTTGGACAGAAGGGGGAGTATAAGGGA